GAAATTTGAGTCTGTGGAGCCCTGTTGAGAAGAGGCTGAGAGGTTGAGTTGAGAGGTTGTTGAGAGACAGTTTCAATCAAGGAGCCGGTAGTCCTACAAAAAAAACTCAGGTTTTTCTCAGATTTTGGTGGCTTAATTTTATGAATTCGCTAAAAATGCTGGAACATTTGGTTTATCTTAAAATACTAAAAACACTTGAACTATTAGTCTCCACCAAAAATATAATGAAACTGCATGATGCAAGCCTCTGCCTCGTGTGAGGAGCGTGTTATGTGGGCTTGCGTAGTCGACCCTACAAGGCCGGCGTGGCACCAAATCACCCAGCGCACTGACTTTTTTACATTAGTGCTAATGATCGACATTGAGATCACTAGCACAGTATAAGAAAGTCATTCATATGTTAGAACATCAGGGCTATCACAGAATATAATAACTTAAATATGTAACACAAATTTTTGCTTTGTTGCTTTCGATCAGCTGTGCGAACTAACTTCAAGTCTGTGCTGAGGATGGAAAGGTCGTTCATGACAATAAAAGACCGTTTAATAACAGGAGCCGCCCCCAACCGCTCAAAGAGCGAACCTGAAGCTCGAACATACGTCCTGAGGGCAAAAGGGATCGTGACGCCCGCCCCAAACAATAGAAAGGTTCCTCAAAGCCTGGAGATGGGGCGCCCAAGGACTCATAGCAATGCCGTCCTCCCTGGGGATTGGGATGGGGCGCCCGAGGACTCATAGCAATGCCGTCCTCCCTGGGGATGGGGATGGGGATGGGGCGCCCGAGGACTCATAGCAATGCCATCCTCCCTGGGGATGGGGATGGGGATGGGGCGCCCAAGGACTCATAGCAATGCCGTCCTCCCTGGGGATGGGGATGGGGCGCCCGAGGACTCATAGCAATGCCGTCCTCCCTGGGGATGGGGATGGGGCGCCCGAGGACTCATAGCAATGCCGTCCTCTCTGGGGATGGGGATGGGGATGGGGCACCCGAGGACTCATAGCAATGCCGTCCTCCCTGGGGATGGGGATGGAGATGGGGCGCCCAAGGACTCATAGCAATGCCATCCTCCCTGGGGATGGGGATGGGGATGGGGCGCCCAAGGACTCATAGCAATGCCGTCCTGTCTGGGGATGGGGATGGAGCGCCCGATGACGAAGCAATGCCGTACTGGTCTTGTGCGTTAGAACGCAGGTAGCCAGCGTTTCAGGCAGTTGACGCTCGGGGCCTCGACAGGTGTTCATTGGCCTGGAGAATGACTTGCTGGTTTTTGTTTTAAGACACATATATGCATCGTGGCACCCAGAAGAGGTGTGGTATCTTGAGCTGAGAGGACGGGAAGACTGGTTTTGTGAAATAAAGTAACAACCGCAGGAGAAGAAAAATCACTATGCCAGTCAAGGCCGGGGGTCGAAGATGCCATGAGGTTCAGACGGAGGCCATAACTCATACATCCTTTTCGTCTTTTTCGTCATGTGTGACCCCAAAGTTGAAGCCGAAGTCAGCCCTTAAAAATAACACAGAGCTAAAGCCGTGGTTAGTGGTTTCAAATGGTACAAAACCGAAGCCGAAGCTGAGCTAGCCGTGAAATCGGCTCAAAGCGAAGGCGACCCCAAAGCCATCGGAGAAAAATTGCGGCTTCGCGAGATCGAAGCCGAAACCGAAGATAGTTTCGTCCGCATACCTGTGCGGAGTTTGCATCTCCTGAAATTGGAGCATCCAACTGATAGAAAGAGAAAGAGGACTTGTATTGGGTATTTGCTTAAGCTAGTGATCTCCTGTGGTAGCTGAATAACCCAACATATGAATGCCTGTTTTCTGTACTGTACTTGCTATCTACATGTCGATCATAGTACCAAGGGGAAACCAATAAAAGTGCTGGGTGTTGCAGATCCATGGCAGCCTTGTAGGGCCCGTCACGAGAGCCCACGCCACACGCTGTTCACGTGAGGCAGTTATTGCGATATGAGATATATTTTTCTCGCAGGTGCAAATCAATCAAAAGCGTACACCTCGCGGTATGTTCATCGATTTCATACAATAGGCAACCTAAATCTGATCAAAATAGGACCTTTTTGTGCTGGTTTGGGAGCCACTTGATTGAAAATGACATCCCTTCTGGAGAGGTCTCGCCGATAAAAATTCCTGGATCCGTCCTTGTAGTCGTGGCCAGAAAACAGTGTAAGCACCATGGGTGTAGGAACAGGGGGTGGCAGTGGGGGTGGGGGCAGGGGTCAGTGCCCTCACTGATCCATGTGTGGGAGTGGCAATGTTAAGTGTCATCCCACCCCACACTTTTTCAGATTTAAGTTGCGTTTAGCTGACTTTGGTGCAAGCATAAACATGCATACCGATTTATCTAATTTTCCAGCCATGTTACTGAAGATGCGTTATCTTTTTCGTTTGCCCATTGGCCACCGCTCAATATCGCAGCCGCGAAGCCGACGTCGCACGGCCCACGGAGATCGCAACATCGGGCGGCCAGGCTTTTGTGAAGATTTGCGACCACGCACGTTCAAACCCATGTTACATGATTTTTCTCAGTAATTAATCCTGACTGAATGCAAAACGTTTTAAGGGGAACATGGGTTAGCCATGTCAATACAAATTCGTGACCATATTAGATCTACAATCTACGTTCAGGGGTCCTTAATATCTCTGAAGAACAGAAAAAAGTGGAACTGGGGTCCATGGGACAATTGTTAGACCATCTACGGCGGTCAGGGGTGTTCTTGCGTCAGTTCGGGTTTCTTTGTTGATCTGGAGCCAACTGCGCGGGTCAGAAAGCCTTCCGTGTCATGTTTATATTCATGTTTCTATATTTCGTAGCTTTCCACAAGATTCAGTGGCGTTTTCAAAGTTACACGTCGTCATTGATAAAAACGGGCATAAAAGAAACAATGTGAAACCTATCAGAAATAGCCTAACGCATCACACATCGGTTAAGGGATCATCTCGGTGAATCACACTGTCAGGGAGCACATGGTGATGTCATGTATCCCCCAAAGGGCCTCTGTCGTGTATCCCCCAAAGGGCCTCAAAGGATCGACCAGGGGATCACATCCCGTGTTATCGAATGGCAGCTGGAAAACGTCCCACCGCGGGACGGCATGGCCATCCAGCCCTTGACCGGGAGCAGTAATGCACGCCTAGTGTTAATCAAGGGGGCCATTTGCCCGGAAGGAAATAAGGGGTCGCAATATTGTTGAGCAGACTGGATCGATATGGGTTCAAAAACGAACAAGGCTGTCCCATGTTAGCCTGAGAGCTTCCATTCTTTTCCAGAATCGATTAGTGAAAAAATAGTTCAAAAGGTTTGAACATGCGCGCCCACAATCTCCTGAGTAAGGACTGCGATGACCTGGGTTGCAGCTCCGTAAAACCGAAAGGCGTTGGTCACTGCAAGTTACGCTAAGAGGCGGGTGCCATGGTTGATCTGTCCGATTAGCAGTTACATCAACGCGAAAAATAAAGGTTCTACCTTTACTCTTCTAGCTCCACCACCAGATTTCAGCGCCACTTCGCCGTGCCGTAATGGCTGACCCGATCTTATCAATCCAAAAATCATGCAGGTGAATTATACGCCCAGGTTACCTTCTGAATGCAAGATTTGATGTCCTTAAGTGCACAATACGTTTATTTCAGAAGCGCCATCATTTTGTCCGCTCGTTGGTCATGGCTCAATATAGGCCGCTTGACTAACGCTGCGCGGGCTACGCCTGTCGTCGAGGTTTTCATGCTAAAATTTGCAACCGCGCATGCTCAAAACTACGTTACATTACTTATATCACTGATAGGTTCTGACTGAATGTTGAACAGTTTCACACAAACGTCGCTTGACCATGTTAAGACACATTTTTTACACATTTCAATTTACAATCTACCTTCGCGGGGTCCTTGATATGTGAGTACAGCCCATAGAAAAACACAATAAAGTTTCTGAATTTCATCGTTTTAGAAAGAGGCCACTGAACCTTTGTAAATTAAGAGCGCCGGTGATATTTTCCATGCAGTCTTTCAACGCCTGATTGCTGCAGCTGGTCGACTTCAAAATACAGAGTAGACATATCATCCCCCCCCCCACACACACACACACTTTTTGAATTGTTCCTACGCCTATATACAATGAAAAATGTAAATACAAAGGCGTCGCCACGGAGGCTGCGGCGTCGTAATTTGATTTCTGTAACCTTAAATGATTTCCGCAAATCAGGGGAAATTTTATGTATTTGGGTAAAATATTTTTGTACTCCAAAATTTTTCGTCAAACGTGAGCCGGACGTTTTCCCCCGAAGACCTAAACATGACATTGGCACGACAGATTCATCGACGCTCCTGCGCCCTTGCCTGGTGTGCTAACATTTGCACAATGTTTACGCAACGTTTGGCCAGTTAAATTTCTGCCAGTTGAGTTACCACCTCGTTTCCTTGCCTTATTTTAACTTCTTTAGCTCACCTTTTACTTTACTTCGTCTTACTTTCCTTGGTATCCTTAGCTCTTTAGGTTTTGAGATGCATTGGCCACGCTCATCCTCTACCAGCTTACCTATATTTAGCCAGATCGTGAGGGCCCGGAATGTGCCTGTCTACAGTTTGATATAAATCTGCTGACTGCTGCCAATTTGACAGGCGTTCAGGTACGTAAGATTCGCAAATCAAGCGGGAGCTAATCTTAGCCCAACGCAAAGCGCCAAACCTTGGCGTAAATGGTAGCACCAGTGTCGCGCCTATTCGTACGTGGTGCCCGCGTGAAGCATATAGTATGCATAAGATGATGGTTTTCCTCAAGTTTAAAAGAAAGTTTTCTACTAGAATTGCAATTATTGTGTAAAAAACTCTCAAAATTTAAGGAAAATGATTGCTTGTAATGAATCGTAGTATACTTTCTTTTGTGCGCGGATGAATATTATAACGTTACCAGCTGGTTCGCCAGCGCAGCTGACGGGTCGCGGGCGCGCGGATTGGGGGAAGGGGCGGGGGTGGTGGATGTGGCTTCGAGAGCGCGGCTGACTGTTAGTTGGTGTACGAAGGTCCCCGCAGGAGGCTGGGTGCGGTGTCGGGTCAGGGAGATCAGTCACTGTCGCGATCCGTACCAGCAGTGGGTATTCTGAGCATGCTCAGCTCCAAGCCATACAAGATACCGTTCACGATGCCGCCATTACCGAACTGTGGGAAGATTGGACCGGATAAGGACAAGCACAACGGTAGGTTACCCACTGAATCTGGCATGTTATGCTGTAAGGTTTTGGGATGTCTATCGCCGGGATGGGAGCAACCTGCCGTGGTCGAGTCGCCGACGGTCGTCGAGCGTATGTACCCATCCACTCAATGTAATTTTTCACCTAGCCAGCCAGCATTGAATGGTACCCGAGTGCCCGTCCCTCTGGCATGGTGCATCGTAGGTGAAGGTGCATCGTAGGTGCAAACGCCGCGCGCTATTGGACAGCGATGTAGATTAGATAACGGAAAGGTCCGTTCTGAACTGCTATCGAAATGCTTGCGCAGGCGCATGCATACGTGTGTCGGGAACAAACTTGGCTGTTCGTTACAATACGGAGATTTGATGTGTGGTTTGTCGGCATGCGCGCCCGCGAGAAGGCAACATGAGTGAATATGATGTGTTTCTGAATAGTGTGTGTGATCAGATCGTTTTGGGCTGAAGTTTATTGGTTTGGAACTGAATGCAAATAATTGTTGTTTGTCGGTGAATGTGCCGCGTTCCAATGCATGCTATCGGTTTGCGCTGTATTTGCCATCGATGTGCTCATCCTCCACTTGTTCGGATGAGTGGTAGCTCTTTTATTTTGCGATTAAAGTGTCTTTCAACATTCACGTTTATATAAATGGTAACCGTGCTTTGGCAAATGATTTGAATACTGTGTGAAGAAGCATTTGCTCTCAAACTGAAAGGTCACTGGTGTGGAAGGGCTGTAGCTTGGTATATAATCTTTTGGAGTCAGACTGGTAGGGAATTCAGCCATTTCCTGTTGCAAAGTCCATATGTTCCTGGTGGAATATTTGGTATATAGTGTTATCCTTATGTTATGGTGGAGCAATGTGTGCAGCCATCTCCTGCTGATCGCGTCTTACAGTAAAGCCCCTGTGTCTTGACTTTCGCACAGCAAGTTTTTTTTTGTTTTTTACAGCGAGTCAGCCTGTGGCGGCTCATGCACTTAACTAGAGGTCGCGTGGTCTGTGAACTCAATGGGGGTGCACACAGCGCGTGTTCTGTGTGTGAGCCAGACCTTGCCTTCGGCGTGTGTGCGGTGACACGCAAGCGGAGGAACGCTCTCCCGAAGATCGTCAGCCATCGCGGAAGGGCCGGAGGGAGCTTCGGGAATGAGCCCCCGGCGGTCGGCCGTGAAGGCTCGTGAAGCTGCCGGCCGTGACCGGGGCGTGACCGAGAGGCCGGCCCGGCCGCCGGACCCGGACACTGCCTCTTGTGAAATCGGGTCATGCGGTGGCGGCGGCGGCGGCGCCGGCTCGCGGGGGTGTGGGAACGCCGCCGGGCCGGGCCGGGCCGGGCCGGGCCGGGCCCGGTCGTGGCTGGGATGGCCCGTGACGCAGCCGTCCCGCCGAGCTCGCCCTTCCCGCCGCCGCCGGCAATGCCGACCGACCGGCGGCGGCGCGGCACTTACGTAATGTGTCGGCGTCACGGCGTCCTTCGATGCGTGTTTTGGAGGGGCCGGCTCGCTGCTGTTTATCGGCGCGGGTCTTACCTGCGCGGCTTGGCCATCTGGCGGGGCGCCGCGGCCGGCGCGGCCGTCTCGGCGGGGGCCGGCCTGCCCCCGCCGGATGTGCCGAGTCACCCCGCCACTCGCCGAATTCCCGGCGTGACGTCACGGCGGCGCGAGTACGGCGGGCGGGCAGGAGCGGCCGGCCGCCAGTCGACGGCTGGGGGCGCGGCGGGGAGGTGTGCGCACGCGAGCTCCGACCGGGCCACCGTCGTACACGGTACTCGTGCAGTGTTGCGCACATGTGCAGTTGTGGGATTCTCAACAAGATGCCGATGAAAGCAAAAGGTCAGTGGTGTGGAGGACTTGGCCAGCGGCAGTGTGCGACCCACTCGCGTCCTCATCGGCGGTCGGATGTGGCCGCTGATGTGTTACAGTGCTGCAGGGTCTTCGGAAAGCAGGCTGAAAGCTGCTTGAGTAGCATGGAAGCTTCTTGTGTAAATAACTCGTCGCATTTCGTAGCAGTTGTCATACTTGTTCTCGTATTTAGTGCATTGGTGTATTGTCTAATTTCGGACTTCGATTGAATATTTCATTTTTGCAAGGCCAGCCGCATACAATCGTATATTGTATGCTATTACATGTATATGTATGCCGCCTTGGCTTTGCATCTCGTCTGTGCCTGTGTCTAACGTGTGGAGGGCGCCGGCGAGCCCTGACGCGTTTTTGCCAGCCGTTTTTTTCTGTCACTACGCCGCCGTAGCGTGGTGTCTCGGTGTTGTCTGTATGGGGAGGGGAGGAGGCAGCTGCGCGCGGGCCACGTCGATGCAGCGTTCCGCGCAGCTCACCGGCCGCCTCCTTCCTTGCAGAACAAACGCAGCGCCAGCCGCCGTTCGCCCAGGCCTACACCGTGGGCAAGGTGCTGGGCAAGGGTGGCTTCGGCACCGTTTACGGCGGTATCCGGAACCGTGACCGGCTGCCGGTCGCCATCAAGCACGTGCTGAAGCGGAGCGTCACCAGCTGGGGCACGGTGAGTACCGGACGCCGTCCTTCTGACCGTCTCTCCCTCTCCCTCCGTCCCGATCGCTCCGCGTCTACCTCTCTGCCTCTCGCTCGCTGCCTGTCTGCCTCTCTCTCGGGCCGCCGTCGGGTGGCACTGCGCGTCGGTCGCCGGTGAAAGCGGCGCTGTCTGGAAATCCCGGCCGCGGGGCCAGCGGTGCCGGGCGTGCGCGGCGTCCCGCCCCGCTCCGGCGCCTCGCCACTGACGGCGCTCTCCTCCGTTACAGCTCAACTATCAGCGCGTGCCGCTTGAGATCCTGCTACTCAAGGAGGTGCAGAACACCACCGGCGTGGTCAAGTGCCTCGACTACTACGAGCGCGCTGACAGCTTCATCCTCATCCTGGAGCGGCCCGACAACTGCATCGACCTGTTCGACTACATCTCGGACCGGGGTGCGCTGGACGAGCACGTGGCACGCAGCTTTTTCAAGCAAGTGGTGCGGACTGTGATGGAGTGCCACGCGGCCGGGGTGGTGCACCGCGACATCAAGGACGAGAACATCCTGGTGGACCAGCGCACGGGCGAGTTGAAGCTCATCGACTTCGGCTCGGGCGCTCGCCTCAAGGACGAGCTCTACACGGACTTTGACGGTGAGTAGATGGCGCGGGTGCGACGTGCTTTGACGCGCGGCGTGCGGCGGTGGCAGTGTCGGACGGGCGCGATTGCGCACGAGGAGGTGTGAGGCTTGTTTCGTTTCCGCGACGGCGGCAGCGCCGTCCGGTCGGCGTCGGCGCCGGCGGCAAAAACAAAGTGTGCCAAGGTGGCGTTTTTCGGCCGGCGGCGCTGCCAGCCAGCCGGCAGCTGGCGGCCGGATCGACCGAGCCCGGCGGAGCTGGCTGCCGAGGCTTGGAGTGAGAGCGCGCCGCCCGATCTGAGACGGGACAGGCGGGAGTCGGTGTCGCCGAGTCCGGTGTCGTCGCTCGGGGACCTCGGTGGGGTGGGTCATGGAGGGGGAGGAGAAGGGGGGGGGGGGGTGACGGGCCCCCTGCCGGACCTGTCGCGGCCGTGTCGCCGACTGGCTGCGGGTCGTATCCGGGCCGCGTGGTACACCTGTCACCGGCAAGCGACGCGGCCACTGGCACTGACGTCCGGCCTCCCGGCTGTTGCAGGGACGCGCGTCTACTCGCCGCCCGAGTGGGTGCAGCGGCGCTGCTACCATGGCGTGCCAGCCACCATCTGGTCGCTGGGCATCCTGCTGTACGACATGGTGTGTGGCAACATCCCATTCGAGGAGGACCACCAGATCATCCGCGCCGAACTGGCGTTCCGCGGCGGCGTGTCGGCTGAGGTTCGGGATCTGATCCGGCGCTGCCTCTGCATCCGGCCCGAGGAGCGGCCCGATCTGCAGCAGGTGATGCGCCACCCCTGGATGGAGGCCAGCCTGCCCTCCACGCCGCCCACCGACATTCCGCCGCGCCGGCTCTCGGGCTCGCTCAGCTTCTCCGACAAGTCCACCTCCAGTCGGGAGAGCGTTTGACGGCCGCCGCCGGTAGTGTCGTGATCTAGCTCAGTGGCCGCGCGCGCCGGCCGGCGCCGGCGGACCCGGGCCGCCGTCGCCCCTGCGCCGCCGTCTCCGTGACAAGCTGCGTGTCATCCTCGCATCCGGGCGGCCGGTCGTCCCGCCAACGCTTTAACCGCGCCCCGCCCGCGCGGCCAGCCGTCTGCGACCTGTCATTGTACATACCATCGGCGGCCGGCGGGCGGGCACTCCTCATCGTTTTATTATGTTCCTAATGGCGGCGGCGCTGCGGTCGCCGGGTGCCGACCGCGCACCGCCGCAGCTCACCTGTATGAAATGTGGACCATCGCGTGCGTGTATATTTATTTCTATATTATTGTACGCCCGAAGACGAGTATTGCGTGCGTGTTCTGTATTGTACATATCACGTGTTGACGGGGGGAGGGGGGGGGGAGGGGCCTGCGCGCTCCGATGGTGTGCCAGATCAGGCGAGCGCGCGTGAGGATTCCTTCATCCAGTGCCATGACAGCGACGGGGGCGAGCACATAAAAATCGCAAAACCTCGGACGGTAAAGTCGAAGATTTGCCAGTCCGACTTTAGCAAGCCAAAGACGTTCCAAAGTCGCCAGTGCACGCGCGCTCGGGGAATCCCCACAGCGTCGGCCCGGTGTGTGTAGACGGGTGGGCGGCGCGGGCGGCGGCCGGGCGTCGAACGCACCCACCACTCAGCCGGCTGCCCGGCCCGGCCCGCGCCGCCGCCGCCCGCCCCGTTTTAGATCGAGACCGCGGCTGTGCCGCTGCTCCTGTGGCTTCATAATATCCCAAGGGCATAAATTGCTGACCAGACGGCGGATCGAACCGACCGCTAGCCGAATTCACGTGTGTGTGTTTGTGTGTGTGTGTGTGTGTGTGCGTGTGTGTGTGTGTGTACATACGGACAGCAGACAGAAGACTGTATTTTTATATAGTAACGGTGAAAATAAATGGATGTGTAATATGTCTTGTTTGTCGGCGCCGCGTCGGTGGCTGGCCGTGTTCGGCGAGACGGACGAGCGGGCCGTGGCGGCCGGCGCGCGCCGCCTGGTCGATGGCAGATGGCCGACTCCAGTACTGTGCTGGCCGAACACATCCGAGCCATCTGGCCGCCACCAACACCGTGCCACTGCGACGCAGAACTGGGCCAGGAGTCTCAGATGCCGCGCACGCGCCACTGTCAAGCAGCAGAACAGCAAAACGCGCTAGTAGATTCTAAACGGCCCGGACGCCCGCGGGGTGTCTACCACGAGCGAGCTCTTTAAAATCAACGCATCTCTCGTTCAGAGTGAAAGATCCCGCGTAAGCTGTGACACGTCCAGACAACCGCTAGCCGGTCAGCCGGGGTCGCCGACAAGGTCACCGCAGCGGAGACTCAGAGAGCCCCAGGCGGCAGACCGCACTGTTGGATGCGGCCACCGAGGGAGCCGGCGTCCACGTCAGCCCATCTGGCCGTGGACACCGGAGCCGCCATCGGAGCCGACTGTCCGGCCAGCGGGGCGATCGGGCGGCAGCGGGGGTCCCTGCCGGCGCCCCTCTAGCCGCGCCCCCGCCCGATCTCACGGCATCAACCACCGCGGTGACCTGACCCCAGACGGCCCCCACCGCGGTGACCTGACACCATACGGCCCCCACCGCGGTGGCCGCCGGCGCTGCTCGCGGGCGGCGGCGGCGGCGGCGGCGGCGGCGGCGGTGGGGTCCGCACCGACAGCGAGCAGGGCTGCCTCCGCACCGCCCACGCTCTGATCGGGCTGGCGAGTGACGCCGAGACGGCAGAGCGCACCGAACACGCTGGGGCGCGGGCGCCACTCTCAGGCCTGCTAGAGACGCCAGACCGAGGTGCGTGGCACGGCGGCGGTGCAGCTCGCGGCGCGCGCCCACCGCGTATGCCATCTGCTCGCCGGCGCTGACGTCTGGCTCGGCAGCGGGCGCCCTCTCCGGTCAGCACGTGCCGGAACGTCGCTCTGTGGGCGTTGCTGGTTGCTGCAACGGCTCGCCGACCGGCGGCCGGTGCGGCGGCCCCCGTTGGGCGCGATGCGGCAGATGGCCTGCGGCAGGAGACGGGCAGCACCAGACACCACCGGACGGAGCGTGTCACGATCAACTGACCGGCAAACTACGCTTTGCGACATTGGGGTCAGGCCCGCTGGTGCTCTTCGGGTCTCGAATGCGACACTATTAGGGACGTTTTCACGCCTGGGTCACGAACCACGTAAAGGTTTCGGTTTTGGTTTTGTCTCATCACAGCCGCCGCCGGATTTGGCCGGTTACGCTATGACTCGGCTTCTCGCGGCGCGGGCGCCTGCTCATACCGGCCGGGGCCGCCGCGACCCGCGCAGCCCTCATCTGGAGGCGCACGTGGGGAGTCCCAACGTCGCCGGGTAGTCCCAGGGGGCGCCGCCCGGGCCGGCTGCGCCAGGCCCGCTCCGGACCGGGAGCTGTCGCCGGCGGGAGCCGGTCACACGGCCCGCGGCGCGCTGGCTCCTGCCGGCTCGAGCACGTCATTGGCGCATCTCATTAGCGCTGTCCGCCGGCCCGGCCTCTTACGACGCAAACATCTGGCGCCGTAAGGTGTTTTCCGACGGCTCGGATGACGTAGGTGCCCCAGATTTCCCGCGAAAGGGGTGAAGTTTAGAAAGGATCAATACCAGGCCGAGGCGTTGAGAATTGGTTCCTCATCAGCGCCGAGCCGTAAATAAAGCCGCCGCTGCGCCCTCGCGCTCTCATTTTCAGACATCTTTCTCAATATGCAGGTCCCATTCATCACTCAAATATGGCGCTGTCGCGCATTGCGCTGATAGAAGTAGATAATGAAAACATGGCCTCCTTTTCGCACAACCGCAGGTGTGGCATTTCGCCCACTGGGTCCTGTAGCACAAGAGCTGGAGCCATGGAGTGTCCTGCGAAAACATCATAATCACAGTTGCGCCACATATAAAATAAGCATACACAAACACACATAGCCACACGGTGGACAGTGAGCCGTTTGAAGGCCGTACCTGAAGTTGTCTGAAACTGATCCGAGCATGACTCACGTGTGTAGAACCGTGACACCATGACCTTGGTCTTAATCCTCCGTTTTCTTTGCAAAAGTCAAACTGTCAATGCCCAGACCGGCATCGGGGGCTTCTTTGCCAACCTTCTGCCTGCTCTCAGTTCTGGCAGCGTTCCAGGGCTCCCAGCGCTCCAGGACTTCAAGCATTCCAGGGCTCCCAGCGTTCCAGGGCTCCCAGCATTCCAGGGCTCCCAGCGTTCCTGGGTTCCCAGCGTTCCAGGGTTCCCAGCGTTCCAGGGTTCCCAGCGTTCCAGGGCTCCCGGCGTTCCAGGGCTCCCAGCGTTCCAGGGTTCCCAGCGTTCCAGGGCTCCCGGCGTTCCAGGGCTCCCAGCGTTCCAGGGCTCCTGTCACAGGCCCGTTGACGGAGCGTGCGTCCGGCCTCCCCCAGCCGCGTTGGGTGCAGCCGCACGCGGGCTCCAGTGGACCGCTGCAGCCCACGCGACCGCGTCCGCATATTTTGTCGTCAATTCCGCTGCACTAAGCAGTCAAATTTTATATCATTCTTAAGATGCTGGTTGGTGGGCGTTAGCAGCCGCTGATCGTTGTGGTTATGTGTCTTCGTAATGCTTTCCCTAATGCTGATGTACTATGTATATATGTATGCAAATGATAATGTCATGTTCTGGGACTGTGTCAAACATCTGCCAAACTGTTCGGGGTACTTAATAGCCCGTGAACACCTTGATACCAGGAAAAATTGTTGATGGTGAAATCAGTGGACATCTGTTCTGTAACTGGTTAGCAAGCGCTAGCTCCGAGTTAATCGGTGAAGCAGGGCACGCTGGTAAATACATCAATTAGCGCCAGCTGCAGCGAATGGCTGCACATGTGTACTGCACCACCCACCGTACGAAGCCAGAGACATATGCGACGGGCACTGATAGAAGTTGAGCGCGTCACGCGGACACAATCTGGGCCATCGTGCCCTTCTCTGGCGGTTGCGCCCATTCACGCATGATGTGACGTCAAATTTCAAGGTCGACTTTCGGTCTCGGAGTGGCCGAATATTTTACCGGGTACTCAGCTTCTGCAAATAATCGCAACAATCGCAAGACGACGCCCGAAAAAAACTGGTAACAGTTGAAATAATTAGACAAACTTGAAGAACAAACGTGAAGATCGTCGAATTTTGATGCAGCTAGCAGTCAGCTTGCCGTCCATGTGACCAAGGAAGTGACACCTATGACTTGCTAGTAATCACCTGGGCTTAAGATTTCAGAAGAAGAGCTGCGCACCAGTGCGCTGATACAGCCTTTGCTACACCGGGCCTCCATAGCTCGTCTTGTCTTGCCTTAGAGTAGGAAGCGCAGCTGTTTGGGCTCGAGCGTCCATTCAGGCCTCCATAGCGTGTATGTTTAGGACAACTGTAAAAATTGTGCGGCTCAGGGATGGAACGGCTCGCAAAACAAACTATTACATCGGAGTGAGGATGAAATATCCAGCAACTTTCCAGACATCTACTTCAATTTCTTTCTGTTCCCAATGCGTTAAATCACTCGAGCTCTATGCGTGACACAGAAATTGGAGATTCATTGCGCTGACAATCTATGTTTACGACGACACGATGGTGCTGCCATGGATGCGGTTGGGTGCTGCGGTGTATCGAAATACACACTTCTAAGGACACGTTTATGGGTATTCTGCCGTACTTTTCAAGAACACGAAAGAACAATGAATAACAGCCGCTTCTTGGAGTCGTCGAAGGCTGCGGGGTCGGTGTTGTACAACGCGCGGTTGCAACTCTATCCTAGTAATCGTTGTTAACCTGTTTTGGATGAACTGGGCCGATCGCTGGCGACCTATTTTGACTGGGCCTGTTCGGCGAAAGAGAAGAGTGTGGGAAGCTCTTCTTTAAATGGACTTTCTACCTTGTCTGGTGCAAAGCTAAGCTCGGTTCCGTCTTTAGAGGATGGAATTCGATTGGCTGTGACGACAGGCGTGCGCAAGTTACGGCGGAATGCCTGGAAAGGAGTGCAGTTATTAAAACGTTCCGTTTTTTTCTCAAAACAGGGCAAAATTACGACAAGAAAAACTCCGTATTGGCTGCAATAAATGCGGTACAACAGAATTATTGGCAGATTGCAATGTTCTGTTGAAGTCCATTCTTGCAACGCTGGGGACTTATATGTTGCAATTTTTGGCAGTGCTTTGCCATTACTGTCATGATTGGAAATACCTGTATGTTCTCATCCGGTTGATGTTGTTGTCGAAACTTGCCAGTGTTACAGTAGTATTAAGTGCAAATAGATGGGGAAAGGAAGACGTCATGTTCTTCGGCAGACATCCCGCAATGTTGTGTTAGCGTACGGATACGTCTGTAACGTTTTCGGTGGGTTCATCCTTCCAAGAAGATTGTGTCTTCCACAGTTTTCCTGGATTGACTTTTCTTGGGACTAGAATAAAGTTGGTTGCAAGGCCAATAAGCGGCTTTGCAAACCCAGAAGCAGAAGAAGCAAAAGCAGGCCCAACAAATCCCGAAGGCTTGCACCATGGCCTCCTTTACTCCCGTTTTTAATCCTGACGCCGCCCAATAGATCAGTGTCGTAATGAAGATCCTTCTGCGTGGATACACTGGCACAAACATTGCAGGGATATAGGGCAGATACACTGGCATCCCACACGACCCGTCTTTGATGTCGAAAGTGTGAACCATTGTTGCAGTGTTAAGAGGAATCCCTTGGCGAGAAGAGACAGATCAAATGAATCCGCACAAAAATCTCCAACTTGTACGCATTTGTCAGGAGGCCTTCAGGCGTCTTAAATGCTAGACCGGCAAACACCTATTTGAACAGCAATCATAACCCTTGTCAAACAGCAATCATAAGCCTGTCAAACAGCGCCAAACGGCCGGCAGCCTGCTGTCGATTGCCGTCGGCGCCGTTGTCGGCGGGGTGAGAGCTAGCGCGCAG